CTTTCTTTAAGTGAAGCAATGAAAGTACAATAAGGTATTAAGAGAGAGGGAGAGACCATATTCACATAAGTTTTAGTACAGTGTATTGTTGTAATTTTTCTAATTTATTATTAGTTATTATTGTTAATCTTTCATTGTGCCTAGTTTATATATATCATTTGTATGTATGTATAAGAAAAAAGTGGTATATGTAGGGTTTGATATGATCTATAGTTTGAAGCATCAACTGGGGGTCTTGGAATATATTACCCATGAATAATAAGGTGGGGGACTACTTCATAAAGATTTAGTGTATGATCTCTGTTTTCAATAGGCTTATAGCATTGCAATTTAGTTTTTCAGTTTTTCCCCCTGTATCTCTTATGTTATATAAGAGACTAGGTGATGGGGAAATGATTTTTTTTAAATCAAATTTCAAGTGAACTTTCCTAGAATACACTAATGTACAAGTACATCCTAAAATGTAGGCCAGTATAATATTCTTTTTAACTTATTAAGGTTAAGCTAAGCAGGATGTCTTCCCTTTATGATATTATATTTTAAGAGCTCACAGTTAGAGATTTAGACCTCAGAGTGCATTTTCATTCTGGAAGAAAGAGTGCTCCTTAACAAAAAAAAAAAAAAAAAGGTCAACTGTGTGGTTATATGAAAATTCAGTGCTATCAAATAGATCTTATTGCATTATTGATGACTGTCTTCTGTGAACTGATAGCATGAATGTTTCTAAATATTTGAATATTGGTGTCTGAAAAAGAATATATGGGAGGAATGATATTTCTCAATTTGTAGCTAGATTAGTTGGCATCTTGGAGACAATTCTTTTATTATCATTCTTACTACTCAGAATGAGAATTTTAGGGCTCTGATTTTTATAAAAATTGATTGAACCCTACTGCTTTGTTTTTTTAAGAGTGTGTCTGCCAGAACAGTCTTTTCTTTGTCCAAAATATGCAGTGTATTCCTTAAGGGTATACAGAGGTATTTCAGAGGAAATGGTAAATATCTCAATCTCATCTTTTCTTTAAATTGGTCTCTGTCACGTATGGGTATCCCTGGTTCCATTCAACCCACATATTCTATTTTATTAAATTCTTATTCATTAGGTCCTATTAAATTTTATTCTGTTGCTTTATTTGTTCTATTAATATGCTATTTTAAAGAAATATGAGCTACGTAAAAAAATTTTAAAAAATCCAAAACCCATTTTACATTCTTATAGCAAAAACAACTGCTCAGCTCGTGTAGCCCCGTGGTAGAGGCTGGCCTCGTACACACAAGGTCTGGATTCCAATCCCAGCACAGAAAAACAAATAGAAAATCACTAGAGTAAGTTAAGATTATTTGAAATATCTATTCTAGTATAAGTGCTCATCTGAAAAAAAAAACAACAAGAGTACCTTTTAAATTGAATTTTAACCTATTTTTGAAGTCTGTTCAATTCAACTCATTATAGAGGGCTGAGTAAAGGAGAAGAAGGAAAGTAACACACTCTTACTTATGAGAATGGAGATAGGTGAATTATAAGAAAACATATTGGACCCTCAAAAGACTTTTAAAACATATGCAACTGTAAATCATCCTTGATTTATATATATAAATCAAGGATAATTATATATATATATATATAATATATATATATATAAATTTTTTGTGTGTGTGCTGGGGATCAAACCCCAAGGCTTTATGCCAGCTAGGCAAGCATTCTACCACTGACCTATAGTTGAATTTTTTTTTTTAAAAGGAATAAGTGCTTAGGGGTGGGGAGTGGCAGAGCACTTGCCTAGCTCATACAAAGGCTCAGGGTTCAATCCTTAGCACTGGGGTTAGGAGGGGCATCATGAAGAATGGATGCTTAATGTGACATAGTGATATGGATAGACATTGGAAACAGGGGTTCTTTCTTCTTTTTGCACTTCATTGTAATTGTATATTTACTTATCTGACCTCCCCATTACTCTAAGGAGTAAGATACAATTAATGATTTTGAATCGTGGTCGTACATTGGAATCACCTAAAAAACTTTTGAAAAATATAATGCCTGATTTAATTGGCCTATAGGAGGTAGACTAGGCATTAGTATTACTTAAAAGCTATCATTATATTTCTTTTTTTATTTAAATTTTTATTTTTGTTGATAGACCTTTATTTTTTTTATTTGTAGATGGTATTGAGAATTGAACCCAGTGCCTCACATATGCTAGGCAAGTGCGCTACCCAGCCCCAGCCTCAGCCCCTATCATTGTAATTCTAATATGAAACTTGGGTTGAGAATTAATGGTGTAGGGTTCTCAGTTACTAGCACAAGCTCTGGCATATAGTAATTGTTTGATAAATATTACTTGGATGCTTGAATGAAACCATGAATGTGTTCTTTGTGAAACAAATATAAACATATGATTCAGATTTTTAGTATACTTTCTTTTATTGAAGAACGTATAAAATAATTCAAATCCTATGGATGCATATTTATGCTGCCTTAGATTGCAGTATTTAGTTATCAACTTAAAAAAATAGATATTTGGAATATTCATTGCAAACATATAAGTGTGTTTTGGTTAATCTTTCACATTGTTTTCTCCAGCAAATTGGTAAACTTTCATACTATGGAAAGATAATATTTTATGCTATGCCAAATACCATTCTTAATTTGCTATCAATGCCAGGTTTAAGGTAGAGCAGAAAAGTGTGTCTGTTAGCTTATAATTGTGTTAAAGCACATTATGTGTATTCAAATATAATATTTTTTATACTGCCATCATGCAAATTTAAAGTTTTTTTCTATAAATCTGTTGTTCTTTCAATACACATTTCTAGTCATGTTGTGGACACGGTGTGTACAGTGGGTAGTGCAAATGGCTTATTATATGCACTTCACTTATGAAGACATATTTTGTATGAGGGTAAAAGAAGAGAATTTGTCCATGGATTCTTTTGTCTTGAATAACTTTCCACTGGATCAATATCTCCTTTATTAAGCTCCCAAATCATGAACCTTCTGTTAAGGATTGATTAAGAGTTGGGGATGAATCTCACTTCCTGTGTTAGCAGTACAACTTGAACATTTTCAATGTTTCTGTGTTGTTTGGGACAGTCTTCGATAAATGAACAACAGGAAAGAAATTGTATGAATCTGGGTTATATTCTATATATTCTTTGATAAAGTTAAATTTTCAGATGGACTTATATATTTTTTATCTTCTTTGCATAGCCAGAAATGATATAGGAACTGGAACTCTTAACTCTCAACTGCCATTGTAGAGGAGTCCACTGCATTCAACTGTAATGCTTGTTTAATTTATGAAATGAATGAGTGATAGGAAAGTGTCCAAAGACTGGCATGGTAGAAAAACACACATCAGCTTCAAAACTGAGCAGCTAGGTAAAAGATTTAAGGGTACAACAGATGGGGATCCTCAAGTAGGATTGTGGTCCCATACTACCTGGGGATCTTTTTAAAAGACGTTGTATAAATCCAGATTTCCTGATACAGAATCTTCGAGGTGGTTGTAGAGGAAGAAATAATGGAAAGGAATACTAGTAATCTGTAATTTTTTAATTTTTAATTTTTTAGTTCTCAATGGACCTTTACTTATCTATCTATCTGTCTATTTATTTATTTATATGCAGTTCTGGGATTCGAACCCAGTGCCTCACACATTCTAGGTAAGCCCTCTACCACTAAGCTACAACCCCAGCCCAGTAATTTGTATTTTTAATAAATCCTCCCTTTCCTTCCACTGGGGTTTGTCATGCAACCAGGTGGGCAAATGTGTCTTGTCAAGCATTTTGGAACCACTGATATAAGGGAACGTAGAGTGGACAAGGAGTCAAGAAATTCAGTTTCTAGTGCTTGCTTTGGCAGCACATATACAAAAATTGGAACAATACAGAGAAGAGTAGCATGGCCCCTGCACAAGGATGATGCACAAATCCATGAAGCATATATTTTGCACAAATGGTATGACTCTACTTCATGTACACCCAGAGAAGTGAAAAATTCCACTCCATTTGTGTACAATGAATCGAAGAGCTTTCTGCTGTCATGTATAACTGATCAGGACTCAGAAAAAAAGAAATTCAGGTTCTAGTCATAGCCCTTTTACTAATTTATCTGGAATAATTCACTTAACCTTGACAAATTTCAATCTCCTTGGTGAGAGGCCTCATTTTTAGATAGTTTCTCTAGTGATTTATAAGGCCCTTTTGTGCCTAATTTATTGGGATTCTGTTAGTTTTATCTTTCATGACTTCCTGAAGCAAACTTCTAATAGAGGAGTAAATTCACAATAAAATGATTAAAGAGAGAGTGAATGAAGTTGCATGTATATTCCACAAACAAAAACTCCTGGCTCAGGATTGAACTACGTACTGCACCAGAAGTTTGTGCATGTGCATTCAAGTCTTTCTTTACATTTGTCCATCAACTGGGTCCATTATTGGTCAACAAATTAGAAAAACCTGTGAAAATCACACTTGGGTTTTTATCGTTTCAAAAAAGTATGTTACTTCCAAAAGAAAGCTACCCTTAAACATTAGCACAAAAATTTTGCAAAAACACAATTTATTTCCTTGCCAGTTTTATCAAGCACACCTGGATGATGTCATCCTTCTTATCAGAGGACAGAAGTGTCTGTGTCAGCAAAAACTAATAATTTCCTAATCATTGACTATAGTCATTACACAAATATGCTATGTATATGCCTACATCTATAATCCTATATGAAATAGCACATAATCATAGAGTCATTACAAAGGAGAGGCTCAAGAAATGTTTGTTGGAATAGTAAAATAAGCAAGAAAAGAAAGGAAGAACGAGGGATAGAGTACAGTGGGGTTAATGATGAGGATGATGTTTTCTATTATTGGATATCACACAGTCCACAGTAGCTTATTAATCTTCCATAGGAAATATATTGGGCATGTAGATCTCCCATGGAGGTGTTAAAACAAGATATTGAGTAGGAGGACTTTCAGAATTGATTCTGAAAGGAATTGCTCACCTTCTTTTAAGCAGAGGCTTTCATTGACCACTTTCCCCTCCTTGTTGATGATTATTTTCATCCAGCTATGGAGGTATTTCCTGCCTTTCTTGACCACTACTTTGGGGCCTTGTTTCTTGAGAAAGAAGGAGGTATTTTCGACCTCCAGGAACCCTTCCTGCTCGTAGCAGGTCCATCGGGGTGCCTGGGAGCAGGGGGTGAGGACAGCTGCACGGGAAGGGCCACCGGAGGAGTTGGAGATGCCCAGGCACAGTGCAGATCCAACATGGAGGAGGTTTCCATCCTCAGCCCACAGCCACTGCTGGTTCTGGCTGGTACCATTGCAGGCTCCCACGATCACTCTCTGATTTACGAAAAGGCACTGATGTTTCTGGACATGGACAATCTGAAACCCCTCTGGAAGATGAAAAGCTTATAAAGTGCTGTATAGCAAGTTATAAGACCTGTTTAAAAATAAAAAAAAACCCCACCTACCCACAAATGTAAAAATACTAGGTTTATTTATATTTTGCTATTTCTACCATTTCAAGTGAATATTCCTAGAGTCAGCATATGTGATTTAAAATCCCAAGGCTAATAAATACATAAATTAATTCAACTAAAAGTTAAAAGTCTGATGATCAAAAATGTCAAAACATTACACTTAGCAACCACCTCTCTCCTCTTTTGAAGCTTTCACATGGTGTGAGGGAGAAAACACATATACCTTATAACAAAAATGAAAGGAAACTTGGAAAAGAAACAAAACCATCCAGAGAATACTGTTTTTCTTTGGATAAGGAAGGACCCATCCAAAGAAATTGGTGTCTCATGATGTGAGCCCAATTAGTTAAATATGCTACGGTTATGTAAAGCTCAGTTCCCTTTTTAAATCAGTTAACTCCATATCACCTCTTTCACTCTAAAAAAAAAAATCACTTTTTCAATCCTTGAACTCACACTGTAATAAGTATTTGTACACAAATTGCTTAGTTTGCATAAAAATTTTAAAAATTGCACATATTTACCAAAACATAAATATAAAACAATATTTTCCATCCTTCCAAGGACAATCTCCTAGCTGATAGCAACCAATGAAAGCATCAATTATCACAAACTGAGTTTCCATTTACTCCTGGAGAGAAGCTACTATTTTGTGATAATGCCTACAAATTTTCCTTAAATACTAACAGGTTTAAGAACAACAACAACAACAACAACAAAAACCCTCAGCATTTCTTGATGTAAGAAAATTAAATACCCACTTGTTAAACATTCACATTAAAAAAGTAAGCTATGCAGGCTCAGAAGCGTTTTTAATGAGTTTTTACTTAAATTGCCCACTTCTCCCATGAAAATATTCAGCCCTTCCAAATGACAACTTCTAGATAAAATACATCTCCTCACCCCCTTCAATCATATTCCTTCATAGTTTCTTCCTTTAATATGAAAAAAAAAAATCAGAACTTTAACCTGATTGGAAAAGGGCATGGGGGTGCTACAGCCTGTTACATAATAGTGAAGACATCTCCTCAGGGTGCTGTTCTCTCCCCTGTCAAGATGCCCTGCGAGGGGCTGAGCTGCCCAGAGCATCTGGAGGACCTGAGGAGACGTTTATGTTCTTTGTGGGAGAATTCTCAGCAGGGTGGGCACAGTTCCCTCCTCACTGTCTTTGGCTCCACTCTCCTGGAGGAGACCTGGTTTCATTTCTGCCTTATCAGCCACTTTTCAAAGGCCACGGGGACTCCTCTGTTAGACCTGGGAGAAATGCCTCAGGATACTGAGGCAGACCCACTCACCCGAGCTCCCGAAGATCAGGCTGGTAAGAATCGCCATGTAAAATTCAGCCTCCATTTTCCACTTAACAACTCTTCATGCTTCGCTTGGGGGGGAAAAAAATTCTCCCAGATAAGAGAAGCAAAGACTAGGAAGGAAACGTGCCTTCATGGTGAGGGGAAAAGTCAGTGACGAGCACTTCCTCCAATTGAATTGTTTGGGGAAGTTTTACACCAGTGTCCTTTTGTCTGTTTCCTTAGAAAGGAGGGATTATGATTACCTCTCTCTTTTTTAAATGTAGATCTAGCCTCCAGGAGCAGAATAAACCTCCTTAAGTCTTCACCTACCTTCCTTTTGGCACATGACTACTTCTTAACCTCAAGAGGGAAGGAAAGGAATTGTGATTGTAGGTAATTGAGTGCTTCTGCAACATGACATCTTTTCAGGTGATGCGATTCTGCTGAATATACATAAACCATGTAATTTACGAGGGCCCATGACAAGTAATATAAAGACATAAACATGTACTGTTTGTATAATGATATGCTGGGAGTCGATGAGGAAAACCACATAATGATGGCACTTCTGGATCATTATCTCTCAAGTGATGACAATATTCCATTTCAAGAGAGTCATCTCCACTGGGGAGATGCAGAGGCTAAATTTAAACTCATCACATTATCTACTTTAGGCTTCCCCTACCAGATAATGGCCTTTCTCCCAGTAGAGAAAAAAATAAGATAAAAAGAATATACTTTACTCAATATTTAGTATTAAGAGTAGTTTATTGGCAGTATGAAACAAAGTCAACATCGCTGCATTAAAAATTCATTTTTGAGTGGAACATCTAGGTGTTTGCTGAGTGTAGTTATTTTAATTTTATTTGTCTCTTGAGGATTAAAACCTTTCAGAAATGTAAGGACATACATGGCAGCATCCTTTTGAAGAACCTCTGGAATTGGGAGTGGCTACAACATCCCCAAAGGTATCTGCCTTTAATTAGGAGAGATTCCAGGTAGACAGCATATTCAAAACTCCCTTCTTAGTAAAAGAGAGACAAGGATTAAATTTGGATGCTTTTTAGTTGCTACAAATTTGTTTTTCCCTTTTGAAGTAAAACAATTCACAATGTAGAAATATAGTGGATAGAATTCTGGAGCAGAACACACCTCTATGCCTAATGGGAAATAGAATAAGTACATATATATCCAATGACAATCATTGTGCTCTGTAATTGATGGGAGGTACTATAAATACACATTTAATAGATAATATTATCAAGACACATTTCCATATAAAATATTAACTGCTTTTGATTTTTTTTCAAAAACAAAAACTTATTTGTTAAAAATCCATTGTCAATCACTTGCGACTTTAGCAGCAAGATTCCAGTAACTGAGATAGGTAATAGCACTTAAAACAGGAACAGTTGAACAGCTGACAGTCCATTCACAAGACAGACTCTGCAAACATTAAAGCATCTAAACACACAATAATGATTTCTTTAGCAGCTCTTCTAGTCATCCCTTGATGACAGATACCACTGAATATTACATACACATGTTCTGTGTGTCAGATAGACAACACAGACAAAACAAAATCCACCTTAGACTGTGTGGGAAATGTATCATACCTCCATCAGCATAGGGCCTTTAGAATAATTTGGGGGGTGCTTACAAATGCATTCATGTACACAAGGGGCTGGCAATCTTGAACACGTTGCCAAGTCTTCCATGATCCATGCCACAGGTTGGCTTCAGAGCAGCTTTCCTTCCATTGCAGGAAGCTTCTTAGAGAAGCCTCAAGTGGGTGATTTGATTAATCACCCCAGAGATTGATGATCAGGTGAGTCTCCCACGAATCACTGGACAGTTTCTGCTGAAAGTCTGCTCTCGTACAGGCAGAGAGCATGATGTAAAAATTCATACTGCTCACTGGTTTGTACCATTCCACCCCTGCAAAGAAGAAATGACAAAAAAAAAATTCATTTTGTTAACCTCCTGCAATCTTGTAACCCAGAGACTATATTCAAGCTAGGATGTTATGCCAAAGACACACAGAATAGTTCCATCTAATGATTCTTTTATTATCCCTTCTACCTGTATCCAAATGTCCTAATTTGTAGGATTCCCATGTTGATACAGTCATGCACTGCACAATCACCTTGTAGCGTGATGCATTACCCCTGTGTTTGTGTAATACTTAATGATAATAAATGACATTATTGTTTTCATGTATTTACTGTACTATACTTTTTATTATTATTTTAGCATGTACTCCTTCTGCTTATATAAAAAACTTAACTATGAAACCTTATGCCATGTGATGCCAGCAGGAGATTCACACATCTCATGTTTACTGCATCTTTTGATTACATAATTTTCTCTAGTGCTTGATTTAATTTCATGTTTTGATCATCATGACCCTAGGAGCAATAATCCATTATATTTATTTATATATTTATATTTTATAAATTTATATTTTTATATGTGATATACAGAAGTATTTATATGTTATATGCAAATAAATATATAAATGTCATGTAGTCCAGGAATCATGTAGTCCAGGTGTGCAAGAAGCTATGCCATCCAGGATTGGGTAAGTACACTCTATGTTGTTTGCACAATATCACCTAATAACACATTTCTTAGGAAGTATCCCCAGCATTAAGCAATATATGACTGTATATATAAAGGGCTTAATACAGTGTCTTATATATTAGGCATGTGATTCATTTTAAATTTTATCTAAGTACCATTACTGAGGAGGTGATATAGTTTTATAGTTAAATACTTGGACTTTGGAACCAGCCAAGCTGAGTTCAAATCCATCCTCTGCCAATTCTTAGCTGTGTGAGTTTGCACAAATTCCTTAAATCCTTTTGCAGCCCAGTTTCCTCCTCTGTTAAAGCAGGAAAGTAACAGTAAGTTATAGCTAGAGTGTTATTCATGGGAACCTTATCATTCATCTTTTGTTAAAATAGATTGAAACTGATTGAAATAGGTACCCAAACAACTCAGCTGTGAAATGCTGCTTTTTCTACAAGTAAAAGGAAAGACTACTGCAGAATGGCTTATTTGAGTATGCTAGAAAGAAACCTTTGGGTGTGCTGGGCACCTAAGCACAATAGTGGCAGGTCCTTAGATGAACTGGAAAAGGGGGACTGGCTCTTGCTTTTTCCTTTGGTGTGACCATACTTATCACTAGCTGCTCAGCATTCCCTTCATTGCTGAATTAGTGGAAGTCAGTTGACTTCATCCTACTTCTTTATACAATATTTACACCACACTTTCTCCTTATAATGATGGCCTTTTAGCTTGACAGAGTAATCACTGATATAAAGCTGACATATTTTTCCTGCCCAGTGAATAGCAGCATTATTGTTTGTAACTATTTAAAGTCCTGCAAAGTCTCCGTAACTCTGCAGGCATACAACTAATTTTATATTTTAGTTTAATTCTATGTTTTAGACAGTTATTCCTCAGTGGCTGTCAGTATCATTCAAAATAATTTTCAGATCGTTTGAGCACTTCAACTTAAAAACTAGATACATTACCTCATTGTAACCTGACCTCGGGTTAATAGTAATGACTAAAACTGGTCTTGGATTTATGTTTACTTGTCAGCCTCTGTAAATATCAAATCGGTAAGACTTCACCCTTCTAAACTAAAGACCAATTCTTCACCCAGGTTCAACATGATGCCAACATGATGTATTTGGCAAGAAATGAAGAAGTAAATTTATAGTATTGAGTGACAGCAGCTTATTGGCAGACCTATTTCTTCTGTCACTTTCCCTAGAACTACATTTTTTAAAATTTGTAGATGGACACAATATCTTTATTTATGTATTTTTATATGGTGCTGAGGATCGAACCCAGTGCCTCACACGTGCAATCTCTCTACCACTGAGCTACATACAGCCCCAAGCCCTAGAACCACATCTTGTTGACCAAGTGTTCCTTGGTCAGAAGTTGACAACAGAAATGGCCAGCTGAGGATGTGCTCTTTCTTTTGTTAGCTTTATGATGACATCTGGGCACACCTAAAAACAGCAGGTGTCCGGAAGATGTTGGACTAGACTGTGAAACTTGGGAGACACAACCACAGTAAATATTAGATCAGCTCCAGGGAGCTGGGGGCCCCTCCCTTCCTCTGGCATTTGCAAGGCTCAGGGATCCACTACTCCCGCCTTGAATGGACCTTGTATGTGCTCCATCTCTTAGATTCTGGTCTGTGAACGTTCTTTTACCATTCACCTCCCTTTGAGGCACGTTTTTCCCTTTCTTGTATATTCTAGTCAACACCAGTATCTTCGTGTCCCACTGGTGGATGAACAGACACACAGGGTAGGTCTCAATAACCATTTTACCCTAAGTGGGTCAGCAGTGTATTTTAGATTTTCTATGACATTCTATTAACTAAGTCAAAGTTATTTTAGCCAGTGAAGGTGGGAGAGATGGGAAAACACTCATTAGTTGTAGGCAAGCAAAATTCTTGCAGATCTGAAGGCTTCAGGAAGGTATATGAGAAGCTCTACCAACTTCATTTGGAAAATAAAAATGAAGGAATTGGCATTCATTCCATTATTGACAAAATCTAGCTTTCCCAAAAGGAAACAGTTAATATGACAGATGGTCAGCCAGTTTCCACTGAAACGTTCTGAGACTGGCAGAAATGCTCTTGAAGATATCAAAATATCCCGTCCCTCTCTAACTTTCACCCCATTGGTCCAACTGAAATAACCAGAAATGTCTTCAGGTTCCCCTTGTAGTCACACAATAGCTCTCTAAATGCTGGAAAACAACCATCAAAGTCCCATAATCTTTTCTTCTCTAGACTAAACATCCTGTGGTTACTCAATATTTCTGTACAGCCTGGTTTCCCTGTCACTCACCAATCTAGTCTCCTTCTTCTATAGGTTATTTTACCAAATATGACCTTCTTAGAATGTTGTCTCTTCTCCTGATAATATCTAGTCAGTCGGCATATTCACTCCCTTGAGAAACACATTATAGACCTATGAGTTTGCATTTGCAGGTGCATTAGGTGAGACAAGATCCACAGAGCCAGATATTGAATGAAAGTTTAAGTTAATTAAAAAGTCAGCAGGGTTTTTTTGAATGTGAAAATTACATCTCTCTCCCATCCTGTACTTGCACTATTGAATTTTCAAAACTAAATGCAGGGCTTTCTATTTGTCCGTGCTAATTTCAACTTGTTAGTTCTTGTTCTGAGCATGATGTTCTCGTGTACTGAATCATTATTTCTGTCCTTCCATATATTAGTCTTTTATTTCTCACTTCTAAAATTGCATCTTCCAGACATTTGACAAGGATGCCTTACATCTTATCTAAGTCATTTATACCATAATAGAAAAAGAGAGGGTCAACGTATGGTCTTTATTATAAGCAATTTGGTATCATGTTATGTACTTTCTCATCCCAATCTGAAATTGTTTCCTACTAAGTTGTAGATCCTTTAAGGGTAAGAATAATGCATAATCTTTTCATATTTGCAACAACAAGAAGCATTTACTAGTCCTAGGTCAAGTAGGCTACTTGTCAAGTAGGTTTTCCAGGCTATGCTATTTTAATGTAACATGAGAACAGATAAACTCTGGAATAAAATAAAGCAAAAGAGTATCCCAGGATGCATTGATTGGACGCCTTCCTTGTCATTTAAACTCCACCAAGGTTAAGATTTTAAATGATTTCCTTGGTGATTTCAGTGGAGTAGGTTATGAAGCCCCAAACAGCCAGACTGTCATCGGACAGAATGCCCAACACATTATATTAAAGCATTGTCCTTTCTTGAAGTATCCTGTTTAGGTACAAATCTGTTTTCCTGGAAAGTAAAATGCAGTACACTACAATACCTATCATTGAGCAGGAATTAGTCAAAAAAAGTAAGGTCAAGTAAAAATGACATGGAAACCCTAGTTAGCTGGGAGTGGTTATGGGCTTGAAAGGGTTTGTAATGCCAAGGCACCAAAGTGTGTTAAGAGGTAAAGGACAACATAAACTGTCTTCAAGACAAAAGCTACTCCATCACTTCCAAGCTGCAGTGCTCAGTTCTCCCATTTGCAAAACAATGATCTATTCAAATAATAGTACTACCTCTTAGCACTGTGAGAAATAAAGGGGCAATCCATCTGAAATTGTTTAGCACAGAGTCATGCTCATAAATATACTCTAATATATACTCTAATATACTCTAATAGTGTATACTCTATATATTCTATATAGAGTAATATGATATACACTCTATATAATATATACTCTAATAATATATACTCTATATACTCTATACTCTAGTAATATATACTCTAATATTATTATTACTCTTTGGTACTCTCTGATCAAACAGGTCTGGTTAGGAAGCTCTGGGGTGAGGTCTCTGAAGACCTTGGAGAGCTAAGAACAGCCTGGCAGAAGACACAAAATTTCCCAGGTCAAGTTTAGATGGAAAGATCCAAATATGCTTCTAAATATTCGTCAGCCTAGAAGATGGCCACAGTGGAGGCAGTGATAAGCAGTGGCCTTGGAGTCCAGCAGATTCAGAAATAAATTCTTGTTTTTAATCTACTAGTTGTATGGCTTTTATCTATCTATCTATCTATCTATACTGGGGATTGAACCCAACGGCACTTTATCACTGAATTTAGCCCCACCTTTTCTTTTTTTGAGACAGGGTCTCGTGAAGTTGCCCAGGCTATCCCTGAACTTGTGATCCTCCTCCCTTAGCATCCTGAGTGGCTGGGGTTACAGTTGGCATGCACCACCACACCCAGCTAGCTATATGATTTTAGACAAGTCATTTATTTCTTCCCAGCCTGGCTTTTCTCACTTAAAAAGTGACATTAATGACAGATGTCATTCACTTGTGAGGACTAGAAATTCACAGCCTATCAAATGTATGGCCACAGGCTGTTTGCAGCACTCTCAGGAGTCCT